TGGAAATTCCTCCGAACTACAGTGTTGACCATCTTGGTATGTGCTTTTTGTCCTGCAAAGTTAAGGAATGCTGTTACAAACTTTGAACTAACTTGTGGCTATGTTTAAAATATTACAGCTTGTATTTTATTCTTCATCTTACCAGAACATCTCTTTTTTAAGTTTTTAAAGAGCTCATGTTTTTTGTAAAAATATCTTTGCCAATAATAATAAGGCCTGTGGCAGCAGTCATTGGGCTTTTGAAGCCTGACCATTTTATTAGGCACATAGAATTGTCAATAGGCTACCTTACCTAGATATGTGAATGCTTCTATGAATTTCAATGATTGGTTCTCTTTTTGTTGCTACGCTGCTTGTTTAGGTCTGCTGTTCATCTTCACAGGCCTTTCCCTTGTCAAATCATCTAGTTGGCTTCCTTTAGCTATATGACTGCATCTTTCTATGTTATAACTGCTGATGCCATCCCTCAACCTTTTGTTCCCTGTACTTGTTTCTGTATCTGGGTTATGTTCAAATGAAGTTGTTCAATTAGTTAAGAGGAATATAATTGCATGTTGTCTCCTTTTACATACTCGAGGATAATTCATTTTGAGTTTTCTATTTGGCTCAATGACAAATTTACTACGAAATTCTATCAGGATGCATTGGTGGATGTGATGACACTCTTCAACAGTTGACAGAAATATGTGGAACGGGTTCTCGTATGTCAGGTTGGTAAATTTTTTTCGCAGAAGTCAGACTTCGCTGAAATCGAGAAAAAGGATAAAGATGGTGCTTTGGAAAATATTCTTATTATTACATGCCATGCTACCCATGGGCTTGCATAATCATGGTGCGCACGTGTGTGCGTGTGTATTTTGAAGTGATCGATTATTTGAAAAATTCATAAACGTTAGTTAAATTATCTGATAACTTAAATTTACATTTCAATATTTTGTTTATGTATTAATTGTACTATGCTCCATTCGTTTTTGTCTTTTTGGCTTACTTTTATATGGCTTGCTTTTTTTTGTGTAGCAAAATTTATATTCGTCTGTCCTAACTGTACTTTTCATGTTTTAATTTATAATTTATTTCTTCTTACGTGGCTTAACTTTTATGAGAAGTTTGCTTAAGTTTTGGTTAGTTCTTAGAATAATTTGTTTGGTTTTTAGTTTTTAAGAGACACCTCTTGTTAGTACACTTATATTAACATGAGTAGTAGAAAATGTGTTCTATATTTTGCTCTTCCGGATAGTTTATGCCCTTGAATTGTTTAAGAGACTCTTCTCAGTAACGCACTTCCTTAGTGAGGGTTTTAATGAGGGGACAGAATTTATAATTATCACCAGTATCTTTGTTTTGACTTCTTGGTTTCTGATTTTACATCATGGATCTCTTTGCTAACATCAATTAGAAATTTGTCAAAGATTTGTGTTCTTGTGTAGGTTCAAAATGGTAATTGTTATCTGAGTAAATTGTCACTTTTTAAAGAAGCCTTTGGTTTCTAATGATAGTTGGCATCTCTCTCTTCTCTGCTTCACTTGATGTAATTTTGAATCTGGTAATTTAAAAGTTTCTCAAGTAATTGGTGTAGTCATGGAATATCCTACCTCAAGATTAGTTATCTCATCAATTTTACAGTTTTCTGCTTGCATGAAAAGGAAGAGTTAAGAAAACTGACATGGTGATCGTGATGCTGTTATGGCATTAGTAAATTGCTAGCTTTAATGTTACCCCTATAATGAACCACTATCATGATCTTGAAATTTATGTTTCACATAACATATCTAGCAGCAAGAGGAGGAGGGCCCACTCCTGTGTCCAGTTCTGCCCAAAGGAGTAACAGTAGACAGCAGGCTTGCAGCAACTGCCGGCAATTGGGGCATTCTTCCACTGATTGTCCCTCAGTCATTTCTGGCACTCGAAATTCTCGGTCTCGCAGAGCAGACCAACAAGATGGTATGCTAATCAAGTTAATTCTCTCTTTTGTTCAAAGATTAGGAAGGGTGCTGATTCATTTTCTCAAAAATGTCTTCAACTTTTGTATACCCAGCAAGAGGATAGCAAACAATACAACGACAGGTTAAGAACATTCAATACTGTTTATCTTTATCATGATGTGAAGACTTGTAACTCCAAGTTCAAATAAAAAAAGAAAAGTGAAACAGGTTTGTTAGAAAGTCCAATCCAAAAGCTTAAGCTATTAGGTGGAGGGAGACCACCTGAATATAAAGAGCATTTAGAACCCATTGTCAATCAATGTGGGATAATACTTCAACAACCCCACTCACGTGCAAGCCGGATTACGAGTAGCATGTGAAAGTTTGACATTGCACATACACATGGAATTTTTACCACGCACATTCGCGAAAGAGATAGCATTGGCTCTAATACCATGTTAGAAAGTCTAACCCAAAAGCTTAAGCTTTTAGAATAGTTGGCAGTGGTCTTACAAAATCCCACAAGGTTTTTATTTTATTTTTCCAATCTGAATGGTTATGTTTTATATTGTCCTACTAAGTAATTTTATTGAACAGAGTTTTCCTGTGTTGATGTTCCTTTTTTTGTGATGTATTAATGAGATTTCTAATTGTAGTATATGTTTATTTAACCTATTTTTTGAACTTCACTTTGCTAACTTCTAAAAATTTAGCTTGAAATAAATTCCTAATTTAGCCTAAACTAAAAGGTTTTTCTTGGTTAGTAGTTTCTTTTTACGTTTACTCCAAAATAAGATGACATTAAATGTTTCTTTTCTGGGTCAAATGAAATTTTGCGGCTGGTTTGAAGTTAAATTTCTTTGAATTTCATGAAGATGAGCCTTTAGCAGTTAGACTCACTGGAAAGATAACTCTTCTCCCATTTTATTTGTTGAATCATTTAATCTATTATCAAAGAAGTAGAAACATAATCTATTAGCTATCATTGAGGATTAAAAAGGTGGCTAAACGCTTGTTTTCCATTTCTTCCTGGTTCACTGGATGTAGTAAGATAACAGGAAGAATTTTAAGGGCCATCAACAGAAAGCATTGAGTACAATGATTTTGAGCAGTAATTATTGATAGCCTGTGAAATGATAGTTTTACTTCCGACATATGGACTCTTATTACACTATCTGTATCGAATTCCCAACCCAAGAGAAAGTGGAGAAAACTCTTCCTCCCAACTCTCCTTCACTAGGTGTAGTTGCCAGCTAGCAATCACTTTTAATGCTGCTTTCATAGCAATATCCAGCATGATCTTGGTCACTCCATATTTTCTGTTTTACTATCCTTATCAATCTCTACATCCTTCTGTTTAAACTGAGAGCACTTTGTCCGACGATGTCAAATAGATCCTCTTGCGTAAGACCAATTCCCTGCACAGTTATTTTGGAGATGCAAAATAACTGGATATGTAAATGCAAGTAGTTATTTGCAGTCCGGGACTGGAAATCCCTGTCTTTGCAACTACAACTAGATGTTTCTCAACAAGAATAACTTAATGGTCCTCAAAGAAGACAATGTGACAGGAGTCACTGTGATATACTGATTGCTAATTCTGCATTTATGATGTGAATTATTACACTGTGCCCATCCAGTTGATAACTGCTAATTTGGTGCGTCTGAATGCAGGAGGGTTGTCAATTTCATGTAATACTTGTGGAGCATCATGTCCTTTGCGAACTGCTAATACGGCAAATAACAAAGGACGAAAATTTTACTCATGTCAGTCAGAAGGATGCAATTTCTTCGTGTATGAATCTACTTACTATCTGCACGATCCATCTGTCATCTTTACTTCCAGTTAGACCGCATATTCTATGATTTCTTGATCCCATCGCTCTCTCTTACTTTGTTTTTGTTTACTTATTGTCATAGGATTCTCCCTTTGTCAATCACTTTTTAAGTCTGAAGACTTTTTCCCAATGTCCAATGTGTAGGTGGGAGGATAGCCTCCAAAATGGTGGAGGAAGACATGGTGCAAATGGAGGTGCCAGTAACTCAAGAGCTCATTCCAATAGTTTGGGTGGCCGTGGAAGGGGTGGACGAGGTGGTAACAATTCCACCAATGGGACTTTCGTTTCTGCGACTGGCGACCCCGTTACTGGAAGATGTTATGTTTGTGGAGATCCTTCACATTTTGCAAATGTCTGCCCAAATCGATGTAGTTAATGCCTTCCCCTGCATGAAACTCTAGCTCTTAGTCTCCTATTCAATGTTTAATCCAAGCTTAGGCAAAAAGTTTAAGATTGTGGTTTGGAAGATGTGCGTGTGTATAATACAGACATGCATATATATATTTTGGATCTTAGTAAGCCTTTGTTTCTGATTAGAGTATTCTCGAGCTGAGATGTAAATAGGATTTACGGTCACAGCATCTCTGAGGAACAGATGGAGAATGGCTAGCTGCTGGTTAGGCGAGTCTTGTTTGGAGGAGGTTGTCTATGTCAGAGTTTTCTTGACGTAGTTCAACCACAATAGCATTTATCTAGAAGTGATTTTTTTGGTATAAATAGCTTAGCCATGTTGAGAAGCCGCCTTAACCATGATGACATGGTTACATTTCCAAACAGCTAAGCATTTAATTGTAAGCCTTGAGCAATTATGCAGCAGACACATCAATTCTCATTACATAAACAGTCATCACTGTATATTACTGAGGATAAATTATAGAACTCTCCATCGAAACTTGATTTTGACTCACTCTTCATCATTATCATCATTGTCGAGCTCCGGAGAAGAAATTTTTAGATTCTTCTAGTAGTGTTGTTGACTTCAGCAAAATCACACTATCGTGCATTTCAACATCAATTGGAGTCCTCTGCATTTCTCTGCAGACTTTGATTAAACTAGGTTCCGCCATGTTAAGGGAGCGATCCAAAATAACCATAATGCTAAATATATCGTGCACTTTCTATCTCAAGGTGTACAAACGGACCATATCTAGGACATACAATAGATGACCCACGAAGCCTGAACTGAATGTGTGGTCCAACAACCTCATTGATTTCTTATACAATAGCCAATATTAACGTCAACTACACATCTCTAGCACAACAGATCACACAGTTTCCGTTGCCTCTCTTTGGAGTATCTATCCGGCGTTGAAGCTTGTCGTGTCTGCTGAACAAAAGGACAGGAACACAGTACACTGCCGCCACAAGTAAATACACCACGATCCTAATGTAGACTGAAGCATGAATATAATCTACTGATGGGAAATTACTACAGAGTGAAGAGTAATAGGTCACCAGGAGAAAGCACATAGATACTGTAAGCATCGATGTGAAAGGAAGCCCTAGTAAAATGACGAGAATTGCGGCTGCAGAGGTCAGAAATGCCGCGGTATTCATTGCCACAAAGTAGAAGAGAGAGCTTCCACGCATGATCATTTGCCCAGCAAGGTGCGGTTCTTCTTCACTACCAGTAGTAATATTACCTGTCGATGTTGGAACGGAGTTGGTGGTTGCAGTAGTCGTGTTGGCGCTTGGAAAGTAATTGTCTTGCCAATATCCTCCCGGAGGACTAAGAACAGCTTGGTACGTGGCAGTCACAATCAAAACAGCTACCACGAGGATCGTGTTACGAGGTGATTTACTGCGGTTGCCGTTTCCAAGGTTATTGAAGTATCTATCCTGCCATTCGAAGATGGTAAGTTCCTGACTCAAGTAATCTGCAAGCCTTGTTACGCCGGAGAGCCTTGAAGCTCTTTTCGCTTTGGCACGGCATAGGATTTTCCCGGCTTCTTCGTTGTTATTATGCTGAAATCGCTCTTGGAGATCATGGAAGATGTCCAGAGCAGTCAAACCTTCCAGATTCTTTGCGTTCACGTTCATATGCTTAATCAGCAACTTGATTACCTTCGCATAAACAGTGCATACAGCCACTTGTCAACAAAAGATCGTTTTTTCACGTCGACGGTGAACCAAACGAAAACATAAAGTAATCATGATTAGTTTTAATAATAAACTAGTACCTAAGCAAAGGCGAAACCAATAATAATAATAGTCACAGGGATATACCTGAGGCTGATTTGTCAGGGTGGCAATATGCAAGACGGTATTGCCATCCTCATCCTTCCAGTTCAGTGTCTCTTCCATCTTAACTCGCATCAGCCATCCGAACAAAACCTTGACCGACCTGTGCTTGCCGTTCTTCACAGCAACATGCACCGCTGTCTCACACCGGCTCGTCAAGTCCTCGACAGACGACGGACAGGCGGAGAGGAACTCAGCCAAGAGCTCATCCTCCTCAATCTCGGCCGCGCAATGCAACGGAGTGACCCTCCCTCTCCCTTTGACCCTGATCAAGTCCACGTTGATGGTCATCAACGCTCTCACAGTCTGAATCTGGCCGTTTTGCAATGCCAAGTGCATCGGGCTCAGCCCGAGATGGTTGAGTTTACGAGCGAGCGATGGCCTTAGAGTGGCAACTTCCATGGCAAATAGGGTTTCACCTGCACATGCAGACACATGCAAAGGAGTGTTACTGTACGGTATGTTGTCTATACGCTCAAGGATGTGCGGATCACGAGCTAGACGTGCATAAAGCTCGTCTATGTCTCCATCTTCGGCGGCTCGTCGCAGCTGCTCATCCATTCTCTATAATGATTTGAGGACTTCGAAAAAAGTTATTCGTGTTAATTTTCTTGAAGCTGGAAAAAGTTGGAGTTGCGCTTTTATAGTGGAAAGTCAGGACTTAGGTTAAAGTTCAGCTAGGCACATATAATAATTCTTTTGATTTGTGGATTTTTGTAATGGTGATAGGCACATAGATGGCCATTTGGCGCGCTACAAAATGTCTTTAGGAACTTCCGCTGCAGCTGATAATCAAAATTGTCATCAAATTTTAATCTAAAAAATGGGTCATCGAGACCATACTTATTATCATCGTACTCAGAATTATCATTATGATCGGATTTTATCAAGGATATGGTCTAGTTTGTCAAATAAGAGTTTCGATCAAGGAGGTGCATTCTTCATTCGTTATTGATGGAAATTGAAAATGTGTAAGCTTCAATTCAAACGGTCCAAGATCAAAATTATAACTGCATGGATATAATTGCTTATTTTAACCATCTTGAAGAGCAAGTAAATTCGGCAAAAGAACACTACAAGTGCCATAACTTGTGTACGGCGCTCATTTTGTTGCCATAAATTTTTTTTTTATCACTTTAGAGCTAAAATTTTTTAAAAACGATCACTTAAGTGCTAAAATTTTTGAAAAACGATCACTTAAGTGCCAACTCCGGTGTCGTACACAATTTTTCGCCGGAAATCTGACGTGCCATTCTTTTTATTAATTTCTGAAGCTGACGTGGCTTGCCGAAGATTGGCACTTAAGTGATCGTTTTTAAAAAAATTTAGCACTTAAGTGATCGTTTTTAAAAAAATTTAGCACTTAAGTGATCGTTTTTAAAAAATTTTAGCACTTAAGTGATCCAAAAAAAACTTTTGGCACTTAAGTGATCGTTTTTCCTCCGATTTGGCACTTAAGTGAGCCGGCGAAAATTTTTGGCACTAAAGTGAGCGCCGTACACAAGTTATGGCACTTATAGTGTCCTTTTGCCAAGTAAATTCACATGAATATGATGGAGTGTGAGAAAGTTTCTCCAAACAATCCACCACCAGTTGATTACGAATCAGCGGACCTACTTGAAAAATTCCACACTTGTGAGAATATAATTGAACCGTTTTGATAAAATTAAATCTCATCATTATCATGGAACTGCGTTTTTGAATGTTTATGGTAATTGACCGGTGAAGTCTATTAGTTGAGTCATTAATATCTTATATAAGCTCGAAGTTTTTAATCTAAATGTGACGTCTGAGTATCAAGTTAATAATAATTTTTGAAAATCCCTGATATTATGCGAGTAGTTATTCAATACTAATCTTGACACCGTCGTGTCGAACTCATGCTCCAAGAAATTTTGATTTGGAAGTCAAGAGGAGGAGAGACGGAAGTGAAGAAATTGAGAACTCAATTTGTGAAGCAAATTGCAATCCCCATGTCCAAGAATTCAAGATTCTCATTTCCACGGGAAATTTCAAATAAAGGCCCATGAAGCCATTTTTTTAGAAGAGAGTTCAGAGTGGATCTTATTTCACGTGAGGGCCTGAAGTGACCAAATCGTCTCAAGTAAGTGCCCGAGCTCACCGGCTGGCCAAATCTTCACGGCAAACAAGCATGTGATTATTCCAGCCGCTGAAAAAGGGGTAATATTGTCCAAAAGAATTCAAGGTCAAACATTGAAATCCCTAAAACCAAAAATCCCCCAAATTACTTCGTTTATTCTTTCTTCCCATATTTTATCCGTCGTTTCTTCATTTCCTTGGTTTCTTCATTTTTTCTTTTGCTTTGTTTTGTCTATCTTCTTTTGCCACGTTTCTTCGTTTTCAACTAATCTTTTGTTTGTGAAAATGAAATTCTTCGTCGTCTGTGTATCTTCCCATTGCAACTTCGTTTACTCCGTTTCTTCGTTTTGTCATTTATACATTTGCTATGTTTCTTCGATGTAGCTGTTCTTTCGTTCATGCAAAAGGAGGCCTTGGCATCTTCTTGAAACACATGTCGACAAGGTGTGAGGTTGTCGTGGAATACCACATTGATGGCAACGGTGACGATGGTAATTAAGAGAAATATTTTTTGTTTTTTAGTGTTGATTTGACTTTTTTTTCTCGGACTTTTAGGTGCATCTTGTGGAAATTGATGAATATAAGTTACATTTTCTATTGGCAAGTAGTATCTACTGTGCATCTTCTAATTGGATTTGCCGCACGTGCCAGTGGCGGTCCCTATTTTGCAATATTTTAATGCTTTCGTTTTGTTTTTTGTGATGTAAGTTTTGTCGTTGCGGCCAATCCACTTATTCGTGTTTTGTTGTATATTGCACGAAGGTTGCCATCTACTAAATGTTTTTTTGTGCTGTTTTAGAGATAATTGTGTTTTTAAATCTTTTTCATGCCTTTTTCGCCAAGAACAAATACTTATGGGACCACTCCAACCTGCATGGCTTCAGGAGAATTAAAACTTTAATTGTTACCCACTCCAGAAAGAAACCTAAAATTGTGAGATGGAGAAAATTAAGGGCCCAACTGTCCAAGAGAGGAAGAGGGTACATAGTCACTTGTATGACTAGTTGTCTTTCACTAATCAAAGTGTGGTATGCATGTATTGAATGGAAATTTTGAAAATCCAAAACAGTATATTGCATGGAAACAAATCATACGTTTTACAATTTTTGTTTTGTTTTTTTTGTGCTTGCTTAGTGTAAAAACATATTGATGTCATTTTTGTTTCTATTTTGCACCAGGTGAGGAATGTGAAAAAGTGAACTATTCCATTTATGATAGTAGGTGTGCTGAGGTTGCTAAGGGTGCTGAAGAAGATGGGTTTGCCGTAATCAATCTTGATGAGTTATCCAGAATACAAGTGAGATATCCTAAGGATGATGGATTGATGGAGAGCGATACGAAGGTTGGAGATAGCAACATGTATGAAGATGTATTAGCTGATAATATAGATTTCTTGAATATGTATAGCCAAAATGAGCATGCACATCCAGAGTTAAGTGCTGAGGTTGATATGGAGAATCCTATATTCAACTAGGGGATGCATTTTAGTAATGTAAAAGAGTTTAGAGAGGCCGTTAGGAATTATGCCATAAAAAAATGGGAGATGGGTGAGGTTCATTAAGAATGATGGAATAGGTTGAGGGCGGAGTGTTCAGAGGGTTATGATTGGCTTATTTATGCTTCCAGATTTCAGAGGGAGCGTGCTTTGCAAGTCAAAACCTTCAACTCTGTACATATATGTAATAGAGCTATACTTGTTTCTCAAGTTTGCATTGAATGGCTAGCAAGTAAGTATTGTGATTGGTTGAGGAACGACCCTACATGGCTGGGGATGAGCAATGGTCAAACAATGGAGTCTGAGAATGTTTTGAAGCTTTAAAATGAATGAGGATGAGCAAGAGCCTATGGGAATGACCCTATATGATCGGTTGAGGAACGACCCTACATGGCTACAAACTCCATTGTTTGACTTGGTAATGAAAGAGTTGAAGGCAGTTGATCATAAAGCTTATAATTGGTTGTTCAAGAGGCCTTTGGTGCAACGGAGCAAATCCCGCTTCAGGCCAATCTCAAAATGCAACATTTTCTGGAATTATTGGTGTAAAAGTTTCAACAAGAGGGCATCATTGATGCTAGAAATAGGCCTATCATCTCAATGCTTGAAGCTATAAGAGTGCAACTCATGGAGAGGATTCATAAGCGAAGGAATGAGTTGGCCAAGTACACTGGTGTGATCTGTCTTAGGGTCTATGAGAAATTAGATCTCTCAAAGGAGTATTTAGCATCATGGATTCTTGCATGGAATGAGGAGGATGAATTTGAATTGAAAGGATCATATGAAGACAAAAGGGTCATTTATATTATACACAAAATTTGTAGCTGTAAAAGATGGGACATGACATTAATGGAATCCCTTGTTTTTATGCTATGGCGACTCTTATATACATGAGAGAACTACCTAGAAAATGGTTTCACATATGTTATAGTAAGGACACATTCATGCAGACTTATTGACATGTTATGCATGCTATAGATTCCAAGGACACATGGCCTACTAGAGACATTACTCCTACCAAATGTGCCCAATGGTAGAAAGAAAAAACAAAGAACCAAATCAGTGAATGAAACAACTAATAACAATTTACAGACAAGGAAAAAGAAAGTTGTGCAAGAGCCTATGGGAACAAAATTGAAGAGACAGAATATCACAATCACTTGTGGGAAATGTGGTGGGTAAAGCCATAATAGGATTCATTGCAAGAATGCATTAGTAGAATCAATAGTAGCAACAACATCACCAGCCCTAGCAACTTCTGCATCAGCCCCATGCTCACATGATGTGGTAGGAAGCACTCCCTCAGCCCCATTAGCATCACAACTTGAGACAGTCGAACTGCTTGCTTCAATATTTAGAAGCATTCCAAGCTCATTGTCATTTATGGGAAGAGAGAAGATGCAGGTATCTACCTGCCATTGACTTCGTCCTTAAATTGTTCTTATTTGCACTTGATTTTGCATGGATTAATTGATTTTTATCTTGTATTCAACTATAGGTAAGGAGGAGGATGTAAGGGCCAACAAGACCAACAACACAATTTTTTTTTATATAATATTAGTTAACAAGGATGGGATTGTTGAGAAAACCTTCCTAATAGATTTTGAAGTTGACAAAACTATCCACGTATTTCATAAGTCTGATACATGCCTAGAAGTACTTTGATTCAGGAAATTAGTTTGGAAGATAAGCTTACTTATGTTCAGATTGTGGAATTTACTTCAAGAAAAAAAAGTTCAGACTTTTGGCTCAAATAAAGAACTTCAGACTTTATATGAAGAAGTTTCAGACTAAGAGAATAACTTATGTTCCCATCCTAACACAAGCTCAAAACGCAAGATCATATCGTAAAAAAGTCAAGAACTTATATAACGGTTAGTGATTTGGTTTGGATTTCACAATTAGAGAGTATTGATTGACTCAATCTTGAATATTGTTTTACAACGATTTAATATGCAAAATATCTTGATTGATTAGTAAATCAATCTCTAGACAAGTCACCTTCCAAGCGAAGAAGCTCTACTTATGGAAACCAAAACTTTGGTTGTATGAGCGATCATATTCAGCGGAGATTTATATTTTGTCCCTTAACAGTTACTAAATCTCCTTGATACAAATCTGTCCAACGTGGAGATTGGAAAATAATCTTCTAAAGATTGTTCAACGACTAGCCATTTTATAGAGGTTGTCCTTTAACATGTTTCAAGTACGAGTTTTTTTTTTTTGTCTTAATTAGCTTTGTAGTTTATCTCTAGGGAGAAATGAGTAGTTGCATGACCATTGTGGCAGATATCTTGTTTAGTTTGATGATAGCAGTGGCATTGAGGAACTTGTATGGATTAATTTGTTACATGCTCTAGAGCAAGAATTGCAAGAATCTCTAATAGTTGTCTATTTGAATATGTCCTAAATACTTTATTTCTAGTTTATTTTATTTGGATTGTATGTCAATGTGTAATTCCTTTCTTGGTCATTAAAGCAAAATTTAGCTTGAGCTTGTAGACAGTAGGGGTGAGTATCGTCCGGGTGGGCAGTTCCCACCATGGAACAGAAAACCGCCCATTAAAGACCGGTTCTGAAAAATTAAAACCGACAATCACCCATTAGCTTCATGCAATTGCAGGTGATCGAGAATGAGAGAGGGAGGCAATGAATGGTCGGATGTGCGGTTGTGAGTTGATGGGAGTTGAGATTCAAGGCTGTGAGTCAATGAGCGTTGAGTTTGAAAGTCGAGACCATGAGTGAGAGATAGAGAGACGAGATGAGACGAGACGAGCATTTAGTTGATGGACATTAAATTTCAGATTAGGGATTCAAGGTTTTCATTTTTCTTAAAAATTTTCTTTTTTTTTTTTGGAAATTTTTCTTAAAAATTATATATATTACCGGTCCACTCCAAGTGGGTGGTTCCACTCCTAGAATTGGGAATTGGACCGGTACTCATCGGTTCTAGTAAATTAGAGCCAGGAACCGGACCAGTCCCCACGGGAACCGCCAATTCTGGGCCGGTCCCATTCGGTTTTGGGCAGTCCGGACAGTTTCCTGTTCCTTTGCAAACTCCTAGTGGACAAAAAGTTGATGGAAATTTTTGGTGGATATCTTCTTGGTCATTAAAGCAAAAATCACTCTATTCCATCTGCATTGTTTGTTAATATGCTTCTTCATTGATGAATATCTTATGTTCCTAGTGCCCATAAAAAAGTTTTCATATCCTCGGTTCTCCACTACTTTCCACAACACAGGTTATGTGCATACATTCTGCTTTTGTGTTGGCCTAGCATATGCTTTGTGTTGACAACAAATCCACCATTATCAACCATCATCATCATCATCAAGCTCTGCACAATAACCAACTTCAAGCAAACGTCATCTTTAACTTATCATTAAACACTTGAATTCATTAAACTTAAATACTTTCAGAACAAAAAAAATATATATGTGCTTACAAAAAAAGTCCCACTTATCACATCCACTAATGACACCTCATATTGCAACCTCTGGTCTAAAGCTCTAAAAGACACCTCTTCACAACCCCAAAACATTACAACAGCGAGCAATCGCAACCCCATTAGTCTTAGTAGAAACAACTTCATTAGGCCAGAAAAGATAGTATATTATCAACCATGAAACTATCAGTCCATCCGACATAATCTTCTCTTGCATTTTGCTTTATTAAAGGTCGGCTTCAATCGATCTTGTTCTTCGCAAGAGCCTAGAGATAATTCGGCGAGAGTTGTCATCTCCAATGTGGGGGATCAATCTAGTTGAAGAAGCCACAATTTCCACGCTACAAGGTTAGAGTAAGCAAATTGTCAGCATATTTAATACTTGCTCATGAAGAGTGATGCGAAGAGAAATGCAACTAACTCAATTTATAGTTTGTAACGACAGATAACTTAATTTCCAGAGCCTCCTACATCACGAGGCCAAGCGGTTACAAAAATTATAATCCTCCAAATCATAACATGAACCCAATTCTTTGACTTGCTTGAAATAGCCTTGCGGGGGTTAGCTTCTCTCCAAGACAATACCTTCCTTCCACATCTACACTATGGACCCTCCATTTCCATTCGATTGAATCAAACAAGCCTGAACGACCAGATTCAAAGCTCTACAAAAGTTGGACGTGCAACAATCGTCACAATGAATCGGAATGTCAGCTAACAGAGTGAGGCCACAACATTCGCACAACAATCGCAATTTGATCCGACCACACCAATCTGCATCTTTGTCTTCCTGTTCATCCTACGTTACCATAAAACACTCAAAGCCACTCGCATACAGTAAGTGCCCACTCTATTGCACTGTTGAGAGACAGGCTGCGTAAATAAAATCTCGAAGAAACTACAAGGTGTCGTCGATTTGCAACACCACCAACGTTAATTGATGAGTCTTTGACAGTGAACTCAATTGCATCAAACCAAAATTTCCCCATCATTCCTATTCCCATAGTTCTGCAAATCATAATGTTCAAAACAACCAACCCTTCACAGTCATAGTTTCCACATTTAGCTCTCCGTTTGAACAATCAACCACAGGGGACAATTTTACACCATACAAAATACCATCTGGAAATTTAAAGCCTCCATCTTCCTATTCATGCCGCTTTGCCACCACTGATCCATTTCAAAAGTGCCTAAGTAATTTGAAACCTATGTCAGGCTAAGTGATAAGCATCTCAAACTAACTGACAAAATCACAATCCAAAAAAATTGCAGACATTTGTGAGCAAAAAGATGAGAAGAGTAACTTCATATTCCCTCAGGTGGAACTTACATTGCACAACTAACAACAATAGTGGGTCAAACTGCCAGAACATCGAATTTGAATGTCAGCTCAAAGTTCTCTTCTGCAGATTCACTCGTGAAAGCAAGAGCAAGAGCAAAATAGGATTGTCTTTGATTCGATTGGGAGAAAAATCTAGCGAGAGAAAAAAAAACTAACATCGAACCTAATCAGATACCAATTGGGGTTTTTTTGTTTTGTTTTGCTTTTAAGAGTTCTATTTATACCTAGAATTTTTTTTAACTAAAACATCTCTTCTCTGACAGCTGCAACAGTCACATGGTTGCAGGCTGGCAAAGATTTAGCCGGCCGTTGAACTCAAGTCCTCATTTGAGACGATTTGGCTACTTTAGACTCTTGTTTGAGACAAGATCCACTCTGAGCCCTTTTTTGAGAAAATGCCTCAACTTCATGCCTTAATTTGAAATTTAACCTTGTTCTGCCATTACTGTAGTTTGTTCTCTTACAAGCTACTGTGAAAACCAACTGTAGGACAAAACTTCCATAACATTCTGTATAAGTAGAACCATTCAGGAATAATTCCGTACAAAACTGGCATATTTCCTCGCCAATATATACACAACTATGGAAGGTGATGAAAATGTTTCACCCTACGTGAAAGGACTTATATCCTACAATGCCACCCGCAGCTTCCAACTAGCAAGTACTTCCGTCAGAGTTGCACCGCATTGTGATTTCAATACCACGATGAAAAGATGTACCATCCTCTTAGTCTTGCTTTACATGGTGCTTTGATTCCCCAACAAGCTGGAGCGATAAAGTTCAGAAAGCCTCTTCACAATTAACATGCATTCTCAATTCCTAGTCTTGAAATCTTTTGAAACCCAGGCAATGGGTGCAATCATAGTTCTCTTTTAAGTCATCACTTCAGATGTTCCTCCCTTATCAAATTATACACTGGAAAGCTGCAGCCAGTATGTAAGCAGAATTCTGAATTCTAAGGCATCTCCACCAAACCTTGTGGCACTGGCTGTACTCATTTGTTTAGGCAGGATCTGTATTCTGATGCTCAAGGTACTGAGGCAGGACAAGAAAATGCCCTACCAATTGAAGTAATGAGTAAACCCTAAACCATATCATTGACTCACCACATTTAGGATCAGAAATCCAAAACAAAACTAACTCAAAGAGCACCAACTTCAGAGAACATAGACCAAGAAAAACTAAAAAATTGTACCTTGACAGAAAGCAGAATGACCTTCATCCCAAGCAGCACCATTGCTGTGACCTCTTTAGAGTGGAGAGCGCTTCTCGGTCCCCTTGAGATCAAAGTAAACAACTGCGACCGCAACTTGTTGGCACACATAATTATCTTGGGAAATATAAATATAGCCAGTGTGGTCAACTATCAGCTTCACTCCCAAAATCAGTGTAAGAAACCACAATCTAGAAATTTCTATGCTCCATGTATGACTGAGCAAGAAGAATGAAGCCGATGGTTGATAAACCTCAAAGATCAAAACCCTTTTGTTGCAAGACATGTCTTATCTTCTATAGGGCTTGAGGTGATAATTTTGAAATTCAGTTCCAAATGTTATGGATTCCTCATCAAGCTTCTTCTTCAATCTTCTCCAGGTTCTCAACTTGTCAGATTGAATCAAGCCTCTGTAAAGTGTCTCAAAGGTAACCTTTTGAGGAAGAAAGCCCTTCTCGATCATCTCCACAAAGAACGTACAAGCTTGCCTCCATTTCTGCTTCACGCACAACTCATGAATCAATAAGGTATAGGAATCTAGATCTGGCCCCATACCATTTCTCTTCATATCCTCCCAAATTTCCCTCACGATCCCCATGTTATCTAACTTCACAAACATGGCTATGAGAATGTTGTAGGTATGCATAGTGGGCACACAGACATTATCCTCCTTCATCTTCCGATACAACTTTAGCGCATTGTCAACATCTTTCCTTCCCCTATACTCCTTAAAGAAGCAATTATACGTTGCAGCACATGGACTCACCCCATTCCTCACCATCTCCTCAAGCAACTCCTCGGCATCATTGATCCTCCCGCACGAACAGAGACATTTAACGACAGAAGTATATGTCGCCACGCTCAAGCTAATTCCACTCTCCCTCATCATCTTCATCTTATCGAGCAATAACTGCGGCTTATGAGCCCTACTATACACGTGCAACACAATGGAATAACTAGTCACGTCAGGCTCGATCCCTCTGTCGCGCATTTCATCAAACACCTTATCAGCAGCTCTCAACGTCCTCTCGAACCTCGCATCCGGATGCAAACTCGCTCTCCTACAAATCCCATTCAACAACACATTGTACGTCACCAAATGAGGCTCGACCCCACGCTCTATCATATCATTCAAGAACCTCTCCGCCATGTCTATCCTGCCAATCTTGCACCACCCATAAATCAAGATTGTATACATTTTAGCATCTGGGTCAAAAACCCTACAAGACTTCCTCTTGTTAAAAATCTCCACGGCCACTTTCACGTACCCATACTTGCAAAGCGTGTCAAGCAAGTAATAGTAATCCTTATTACCTGCTCCATGCTCAACGAAGCTACCCATGTCGTCGAACGCGCGCACGGCCTGGCGCGTGAGCCCGGCCGCGACCAACCTCCGTATGAGGATAAAGAAAGTGGCGGTCGTCGGACTGAGGTTGCTCTGGTCCATCTCGACGATGAGCTGCCAAGCGGCGTCGAATTGCCGCACCTTGGCGAGGATGTCGATGAGGAGGTTGTAGGACGTCGAGGTGAGAGGCGGGTCGGGGATGGACTTGGCGTAGTCGAAGAGGGCGATAGCGATCTTGGAGCTGTGGCGGAGGCGGAGGAGGGTTTGGTGGAGGAGGGGAGGGGAGAGGGAGACGCCGTGGAGCTGGAGCGACGACTCCATGGCGTGGAAGGGGTTGTGGTGGTGGAGCAGGATCTGGGATATCGACTCGGCGTCGCCCGACGGCTCGAGGGTCGGGAGGTGGTCGCCGGAGGCGGAGGCGGCGCCGTCCAGGACGGCGGTGCAGAGGCGGCGGAGAGGGAGCGCGACGGAGGTAGCGAGAGGGGTGGCAGTGCGTCTCAGCTTGAGCGCCATTTCGCCGGCGAATGGACCTTTTTTCTTCCTCTGGCTATTCATCTTTGTGCGTATCTATGGATGTGTAAATTAAGGAAAATTTGCAACTTGGTCCAAATGTTTAGACACTTTTGCAAAAAAATTAAGATTTCAGTCCCTTACTTATGTTTTCATTCATTTGTTGGTCCTTGGCGGTACCTCATTCACCTCGAATTTGGTTCGCAATTGTTACGATTCCACACGTGCCAGGATTGTTTCAATGAATTTGAGTAGTTTTTTTTCCCCTTTCGGAGGTGGTGGTTAGTTTTTGAATTTAGAAAGATGGCGGGTAGTTTTCTTTTACTATTTGACAATTTTAGCACTTGATGAAAGTTTTTTTTAATGAAAAAGTTAAATTAAAGAAGAGAACAAAAACAAAAAGATATTTCCTTTAAAAGATGGTATAGATAACGCAAGGGTAAATTTGAAGACAAAACTACTTTGTGATAATTCCATTTTTTTTAAGTTAGTCAGTGATATCATTAGAAGAAGATGCTGAGAATCATGTGTAAAAAGCCTGGGTTAAAAAATTTGTTTAGCGTTGAAGACAGTATTGACACTAGTGAAAAGTGAGATCAAATGGTGTTTATGCATAAAAAAAAGAAAAGAAAAGAATAAAAATAAATAAAAATTGAAAAATAAAAATAATATTAAAATTTTAAATAGTAAAATTGTATATTTTAAAACAAAGGGTGGTCGCTTGATGTAGAGAGAGGAGGGACTAGTCTTGATTTTCATATAATTTGATGCAAAGGTAATAATGGAAAATCCAAAAAGTGAGGCATTTAAGTTTTGAGTTGAATGCACTAATTGCACATAACAAATGAGACAATGCATTGTAAATTACAATCTCTTTCATTGTTTAACAAATACTCTTGAACACTTGTCAATGAATAAAAGATCAATTTCGCCGTTATGGATTAAATTACAAGATGTCACAGAAACCTACAGCTACTTCCTTTCGGACTGGACTTACCTGGAGCTAGATCGTCATGGACCGAGTCAATCGCAGCCATCCGTTTCGTGGACTCATATGGATTTCACAAAAATTAATAGTTGTGATTGACATATGATTTATGGACATTGTCCATGGCAAGTTTCGTTCCTTCCAATCGGATGACAAAATCTAACGCTTTGTAACACGAAAATCTGTTGTCCTCACTATAGAGTTCAACCTCACGCCTCATTTGTCCAAGCTAGACATTCAAAAATTTCTGAAAATCCCCACTTATATCATCTAAATTGATTACCTCCTTTTCAGTTCTTTCTGCCTTTCTGATCTTCTCAAGATCCAGATTCAATTCCGCAAGTTGCCTCTCAATCTTCGCTCCCTTATCGGGTAATCTTGAGATTGTAACCTGCATTTGTCAAAAGGTCGTCACAAGACTGACAGCATTATGAACTATTTGGCTACAAATCTAAACTTCTGCTAGGAACGGCATGCTTATGCAAGGACTGTCAACTTATTAAGACCACTTAGAAAAAGGTTACATTCATCACAATAAAAGAAAAGGTATTACTCTTAATTCCTATTTGTAATCTTTCTATGGAAAAGTATATGCCCAATAGTATAATAACGTCCATTAAAGCAGATTTTTTTCTTTCTAAAGTAACATTCTCCTTTCATAACGAGAAAATCCTATTGGATAGTTAAATCCTAGACTCACAAACTCATTGATCTTAAGGGCCATGTAAGACACGAGCCGAAGCTTGGATGCACGGCTCATATATGAGATTATTTGCACTTGCTTGTGTCGTGCATCTAATCCATACAAACATGTTTGCCTGTTAACTACTATGTCAACTCCATGAGACTAAATTATGACCCCGTTAAGGGAGTCCTACCATTTGCTTCATCTGCAAGTTATCAACTCCATGAGACTAAATTATGACCCCGTTAAGGGAGTCCTACCATTTGCTTCATCTGCAAGTTATTCATTTTACTAAACAATTGCCGTATTTATGATTAAATGCAAAAAGGTACAAAAAGGACGGAAAAGGATATACTAAAACTAAAAGGCTAGCTTTGGTTGCATAAGGAACATATTAGCTAGCACAGGAAACTTTTCTTGGACCAATATGTAGTACCTTATCAAGAAGCATGCGTGACAACCGATTGATACGTTCTTTGATATCTGATTCTGTCTGTTTACCAGAACTACCTGGGCTATGGTTTTTCTTGTTCAGTGGGACATCCTTCGGTTTGAAAGCATATGCAGCCCTGTCAAAGTCGTCATTTCATTTCTACCATCAGTAGATAAAACGACAGATGATAAATGCTAGTCTCAAAGTTCAATTCCAATAATTACTCGAAATATGATAGGGATCAACTGAAGCGATACTTCGCCATCATCCACTACTATTATTACTATGTGAATCTCTCGTTTTAAATTAAGTCTTAGACAAGCGGATGCAGTCATAACATTCTTCTCCATGAATATGCTTAGCAGGAGGGACTTGACAGACTCACTCGGACTTCTAAAACTCTATCTGGCACTGGCAACAACATTTAAGGTAGGACAAACATATGTTGTAAGCACCGGCTTCAAAAAATTGCATGATGATTCTCAACATACCCATCAACATTACGTTCCAATGAAGCACCTGATGATGAATTACCTACAAAAGCAGTAGCCTTGGTCCTGCAACCACAGTGAGAAGGCCAATGAGATTGATTTCAGATGTCATAGTAGATGTTCTACACATTGAACAATACAGGATTCAGTAATAGTGGTAAAAGTCCACTTTTTGACAGTTTACATTTACTTTTCTACTAAGCCACCAGATGACCATGAATAGCTTCTACTGATTCTTTTCCACGGCCTAAAATAATTTTACGTTACAGGTTTGATTTCAACTCCTAAACTAGAAAGACAAAAAAACACTTCTGTACTCATTCAGAGTAACGAGGAAAGAAATTTTACTATATCACTAATTCTTTTACCTCTTTTATCCTGATATGCTTTTGCAGACATCAGAAAGAAATTAAACAATTCACATAAAAGGAAAACCATTCTGACCCATTTGTTTGACTGAATTGAATGCAAGTATTGAAAGTAGCTGATGTATACAATACTTGGTAAAGTACCATCTCACTTCCATTTCTTCATCTACAACTTGCACCGGTGCCGTCTTCGAGTAGAGTAAACTGTGGTGACTAATACCAGCTATGCCCAAAGTCTTGAGGAACTCTGTGTGGTTCCTTAAAGACTCATCCCTGAGGGAAGTCAATACAAGAAAATGACCCATAGAGATAAAAAAATCAAGCTGATTCAATTATGATGAAGCTGTTCTATAGCACAAAATTCTCAGCCAATAAGAAGCCAAGTACCCAGTCCCCACCAAACTATATGCACAACAAAAATGTCCAAGACAAGAAAGAAATATAAGCCGCTTTATGATATTTAATCTTTTAAAATGCCAAACATCTTGAAAGTGGAGGAAAGCAAGCCCTGTCACAGAACAGGAATAGCACTTATGGCTAGCGACGATACTAAACCACAGAGAATGAAAGCAAGTACATCTTGACTTGGTGATCATGCTCCTCATACAACTGCTGCTGAGTTGGAGAAATGTCGAACCCCTGTATCGGAAGGCTGAAAATCTCCTTCAGATCCTGGAAAAGTCAAAGCAATCAGTCCATACAACCCTGACCTCAAGTTTAGATAAGCATGGTTTTGGGTGCTATTCAAGGGGAATTGAGGACATAGAAAACCCAACCCCAATCTGAAGAGTTATATCAGAGATGATCTAATCCAAATAAATAAGTACCCGCTCGCTAAAGTAGCGAATTTGCTCTTTGTGCTCAGTTGCTGTTTTGAACAATCCTCCCTTGAATATCTGAACCAAACAGAATGGAGAAACAATAAAATGACGGGTATCATGGCACATTCCGTCCTATGTGGTTTCCATGCCCTTGAGAAAGTATCGCATGTTTGCAATACACTACTTATACAATATAGTGAGCCACTCACTCATAAAAGAACAAATGCGAATGCATTATATAAGATACTATATTTTTATGAGAAAACTAGCAAAGAAATCTTGTCTTGATTGGTTCATTTGATAACGCGTGCAGTGACAAATGGAATAGCAGATATATCCAGTACTTATGAGGCATGCATCGTTTGTGCTCATCAACACACGAAAGCCAAAGAATTCTAGTGAAACACCTAAGGCTCCTGATTGTAGCATTTCATAGTAACATCTGCTCCAAGATAATAATGTTGTTTACCATAACAGTTCTTAAGTCATTTCTCTTATCTTAAATTGGATACAAGCCCCGAAAATATCTTTCCATTGCACCAATTGAGACCATAGCATAGTTGAACAACACAAAACCTGCTTTCTGTATATCTTCTCCTCAATAGTTCCACATGTCATCAACCTATACACAATGACATCCTTCATCTGTCCAATTCGATAGGCGCGATCAACACTTTGGTTATCCGTACTGTCAATAAGAGAAGCACACGTAAACTAACAGAAATATGCTCAAGATCTGCTTCTTTACTCATATATGAAAACAGCTTCAAAATGTCTAAGCTATGTTTGAGAAAAGAAGGGAGGGAAAACGGATGGGAAAAATTGCACCCCCCCCCCCCCCCCCCAAACAAAACCAAACATAGCTTTAAAGTAATAAATACACCTTTTTTTACCAAAGAACCAAAAGAATTTGCGGTAAGTGCTGACATTATTAGGACAACAGAAAATAAATAACAGCGAATGTAAGCACAAACTTGTATTATGCCATGAGTTTCTCCAAGTACACAGTAGAAGTTAACGTCAAGAAAGTACCTTCCCTTCCAGGAAGTATGCTAAAAACAACATAAGATTATATCACTAAAATGGTAGTTTTTTGCTCCGTCATATTGTTTTATGAGTCAACTAAGGGGGGATCAAGTTAACTTGCGTCAAAATTGACGATTAGATCAAGTCAAGGCTGACATGATGTTTCTTACATGTGTCTTTGCATCATTAGTTCAGTGATATTGGTACCATGAAATATTATTTAGTATAGCAGCATGAAGCTTAAAGTTGGGTAAGAACTTGTATCATCTACCATAATGATATTACCTATGACAATTATGGGTTAGAACTCAAACAGTACACAGATTCGTACTTAAAAGTTGTGGAACAGTTAATAGTCTCATAATAAAGGAATGGCATTGAATATGCCCTTACAATAGAATAGAAAAAAGTTCTTCTTTTCTTCCTTCCTCTTTCATGTACTTGCAAAAGTAGTTGAATTCATGGCCGACAACAGAATAAGCAGTAGTACCTTGGATTCCATGCTGGATCGACAACAATCACACGGTCTGCTTTTGTAAGGGTGAGGCCTAGACCACCAACTTGAGATGTCAAGAGAAATATAGGCGCTCCAATGCCTTCTTGGAAATCCTAAGTTCATAAGATGTGACTAGTACATAAGCATGCTGAATTTACAAGCCAGACATCAACCATCTAAATTAGCGAAACACTTACATTTACTATCTTGATCCTGTCGCTAGCTTTTGTGGTACCATCAATGCGTAAATACTCATAGCCACGGGACAGTAAGGAATCCTAATTGCAAAAGGATTCAGAAAATCAATCGCCTGAATCGAGCAATTCAACAGTTTACTACTCCATTAGTGTTTGGAGATATTACAACTAAAAAACGCAATATCAATTTTTTTTTTGTCAGGAAATGCAATATCAATATTGAACGTTGGAAAAGTGTAAAATTAATATCTCGAACGACATAATGCACAAAGAAAAGCTCCAAATAAGCATAGGTTGGTCAATCTGATCTCAATAGACTTTCGCAACCAACAAGCCAATTCTCGACAACTGATTTTATATTGTCACAAATTTCTTTTTTCAAAACCAATATCAACACTTCACTGAATGTAAACTAAGGAAGCAGGGAAAAATAAGCCTTCGAGCCAATATGTAAATCGACCACCACAGGATATCAAAACATGGTTTCATTGAATCATTTAAGATTGAAAAACCAATGGTATATATCTATATACACTCATCCTTGTGAGATTTAAAATCAACATGGAATAATCAGATGTGCCAGCAAAGGATAAACTTTGCATTCCCCAAAACAGTTTGTCTAATCATTGTTGCAACTTCTCAAAAAATAGTTCCAAGCATAACCAAGTCAAACCTGGATAAGATCGAGCATCTTGCGAGTCTGAGAAAAGATAAGCACATTGTGGCCATCTGGAATTAAATTGTCCTATAAAAGAGCATCAAAATGTATTTATGGTAGTCTCTTTCAATTTCTTCAATCAAATATATATATTCAGGAACCTACCAATAATGACATCGTGAAAGATATTTTGCATGATATTATGTCACTTGTCTCCTGAAATTCATCTCTCTCACCAATATCAGCTATATGCATCGCCAATTTCTCTGCCATACCAACATCTTCAGGATTAACCATTGAATCCATCCCTTCAAGAACATCTTCAGCAGCTCTCTTTGTTAACAAGAGTGGATGATCACATATCTTCTTCAAAATCTGATCGAAAAAAGTGTGCAGTCATAAGCTTTTGTTTTGGAAACAAAACAAACCAAACAGTATAGTAGACTGTTAAATTAAATGTATGATATATAATGTCTATTCTTCTAACAACTTGAGTTTTTGGAAAGAAAAAAAGCAATTTGCCTAACATTCATCTAAGCACAGGCCAAGAGTTTGAGTCTTGGCACTCTCTCTTACTATTATTCTACTAGGGTGTGGTCTGGATATACTTTTATTTTTTTGCTTAATCTAAATCTTGCGGTGGATTCACTTTCATTTTTTCTTAGCCGGAAACACCTGAAAACGTTCAAAATATACAAATTTTGACACGTGGATTCCCATAGAATTCTTTCATAATATTTTGAAATTTGGATAATAATTTTAATTGTGGCGGGGAGGCAAAAAGATGTTTTTTGCATTTTAAAAGGCACAAACAAACAAGCCCTTACCACCCGCACGGTGGCGCCATTTGGAGCGCGCACTCTTCCTCTCGCAAAAGGTTGAGTGTTCGAATCCCGGGTGCCGCGGGGTGACTTAACCGGTGCACGTGTGTGGTGGCTAGCACGTGTCGCCCCGGGGTTTACCTCCCGGCTGTCGGCCGTGCGGGGGTTCCCTGGGTCATCAAAAAAAAAAAAAAAAAAAAAAAACAAACAAGCCCTTGCTTTACCAAAAAAAAAAAAAAACAAACAAGCCCTTAGTTTTCCTAGTTCTGGTCTTTGGTTTTCTTGTCGATGTGATTATGTCCACAACTTACGTTTCACGTGTAAGTAACAACCGAAACATGAGAGGAAGTGTTGAAAAATACGCCAAATATCTGGGCCCATTCTCTAACAGATTAAGTTTTCACTAAAAATGGCTTAAGTAGCATAGAAAGAATGATAAAGTTACAGTCAGGAAATAGGATTTGCATCTATCCTCTTACTACAATCAAAGAAATGGAAATAACAGATGAGAGGAAACTTTATTTTCAACCAGTCGTCACTTGCCTGAGAATGCATCATGCCATTTGGTGTTTTATAAATTAGCATTTAGCAAGGCTTAACAAGTGGATGCTGAATAAATTTCATTTTTGTATGAGCCATTACTTATATACATAGTGGTGAGTGTCAGAGGATACCGTCAATGCAGCAAGTGGTGAGTTGTCGAAGGAAGAAAGAACCATCTCACTGTTCAGAAAGGCTTCATAGAGTCGTCGCTGCAAATGTCAAATTTTAGGATCAGCATGTTGAACCCTGGGACCAACATCGTGTAATAGGAGCCCTAGGCTGAAGAATGCAACTTGTACCTGACAATTTGTCAATCTTAACCACACAATTAGTTCACTCTTCTTCGACAATTTGGCAACTTCTCCGTCGTCTTCCCGAAATACTTCATTCTTAAGGCGTCGCAAGAAATAAGGTTGAATGCGTTCCCTCAGCTCCTGTTGCAAAAGGAATTACTCCCTATTTCTTTTTTATCTTCTTTTTAACAAAAATTCTACAGAAGTAACTCAAGCAAATACCTAATATACAATATGAAACCAGAAAAGGAAAAAAGAAAAAACCCACATAATTAACAGAGAAATGAAAGTTAATGCTTATTACAAGAAAGTATTGAGTGAAGCACAATAATCAACAGAAAAGGTCAACTTAGAGAAATCTATTCAGCTCAAACTTCAACATACCAAACTTCATGCAGAGATACTTACGTCTTTTGTAGAATTAGACAACCTAACGAATTGTAAAGTCCCCGCATAATAAGATAGACCACGAAAAAATACTAAGCTTTACAGTCAACAAAAACTACGTTAGCCAAAGACAATGAACAGATAAAATCTCACTTTCAAGACTGCAATTCATATTTCCAACAGAGAATTTTCATTTTGGTAGCACTTACCACAAAACTAGACAATATGGTTCAACATTGCCTTTTCCAAGGTTATAGGGCCTCTTTGGAGAAAATGTATGCTTTAGTAATCTGTCAGCACTGGCCTAAAGAAAATCTATAAGTTGCAAGACTGTTAAGTGTGAAATGTGCTCAGTAAGGCACTACTGTTTCAGAGCCATTGTTCTAATTTTCCTGCCATTGAACTTGTTCCTTGGAAAGCATATATCGACGATCTGCAGTGATTCATGTAGACAAAGAACAGCCTCAGTCAAAACCAAGATATGATGGAGTCCACTCTATACAGCGTTCTTGTAATTCATTTGATTTAGTCAAGCCCGTATTCCCAACTCTTGTTCTAACTCATCTGACTCAGTGATGCTGTTTATACAGCATTATTCTAATTCATTTGACTTAGTCAAGCCCGTATTCCCAACTCTTGTTCTGACTCATCTGACTTAATGATGCCCAATTTCTAACTCTTTGGCAAGTAGATGGCAAATCATCTAATGGAGAAACCACGACATTAAAGTACAAAAGACAAACTGCTAAAAAAGAATTCAATACCTTTGCAACTGCAGAACCAATGCGCTTTTCTCTCTCTGAAGCTTTTTTTTCATTTCCACGAAGTATGGGATTCTCATATTTCTCTTTAAAGCTGTAAGAATATTTGAAACTCAACCATGGAAAAGAAATAAAATTGAGACATGATAATGAGGACGTTTAGAAACCAAGAGAAGTACACTTTGTTATCACCCAGTAGTTCAGGACAGCAGAAGTGAAATAGCGCCCATAGTTCCTATTTCAGCATCAAACAATGGCACACGATATTAGAAAAGTATACTGTATTATTAAGACATACATAAATGAAAGCAGTGCATAAATAGCAGCCCTAAGGATTACCCTTAGATTGTTCTGAATTGGTGTGCCACTAACGACAATGCGATGAGCAGCTGGTATCTCAAGTAAACTTTTTGCTCTCTGCGTACTTGGATTTTTTATGAGATGCCCCTGGAGTTGTCAACAGAATGTGAGATATTATTGTTAGTAGTACATAACACAAGTCCTGAAAAGCACATTCTATTTGTGTGTAAGAATAGGAAGAGGATGTCCCACAGATAACACGATCTAAATGAAAAAAAAAGGAAGAGAAAAACAGTTTCGCTAGTAAATAAGTTAGCGGTTGTTTCCCCACTTAATGCTTGGGAAGAAGTGTTAACTAAGCATTTACCTCATTACATATAAGAGATAACTGCAAAATGATTCCGTTTTAATACAGAAGAAGAGGTTACAGAGAAAGAAGTTTTTAAGTTCCTTCCTAGCTTGATATAGGATCTTCAAGAGATTTATTGCTTTAAGAAAATAACATGCAAGTCAAATATACCAGGCGTGCAGGTAACAGGCACAAAAACATACAGCAATTCCTGTACAGTTTCCCCACAAGTTTCCCAATTTCTGTCTCATCCGCCAATAACACTATCTGCAGAAAATACATATAGTAGAACATCTTGGATGTGCCGCGTTGGTTCGCATATTTTCGCAAAGAGATTGAACATTAACTTGAAATGAGAATGATGTTGTAACTAGTACGAGTATTGCTAGTGGAAAGTACTCCCCCACTCCTTGATGTCTCATTACCCAAGTCAAGGACTTAACATGTATCATTGAGGATCTTGTCAAGCATCTCAAGAAGCCAACCATGCCCATCTCTCCTATATCCCCCTGCACTTTCTCCACATACAAATCTTGTGCAACTCCTAACCTTTAAAACATGCTCAACACAAAAGGAGGAAAAATAACGCAAGGCGATGCTTAATAAATAAGCAAACGAGAAATGCAAGGCTTCTAACTTTTGGCCCTCAAAATGCAGCAAATGCAACATCACCAATAATTTCAATATCCTCGAGTAGATGGGCATCCGTTTTCATCATGCATGCAAAGTTGTACACCACGTGAAGTCTTGACTCTATGTTAGTTATTGTCTTCTCAAACTAACTGACTTCAAATCCATTGCCAGTGTCGGTACCCAAACGTTTCCTTCCTTTTTCTTTTTCTAATATAATAAGACTTATATTCCTCATGAAAGGGCTTCAGAGGAAATAGATATCCATTGGGAGAAAAATAGAACTTACACATATATAACAGACTAACATATTACAGGTGCAGCGACTTTCCATGAGCAATGAAGCTACAGAGAACAATAAGGAAAATTAATAACATAGAGTTGACACAACAATCTTAATGATATGTGCCACCAATTTTAGTGGTTTTTTCCACAACTCCATTTGAATCAAGAATGGACATAACAATTTTAATGATTTCTTCCACAACTCCATTTCGAATCAACTAAATCAAACGCTTTAAAGAGCAGGTTGCAAATTATCACAGCACTCTACAAAAAAAAAAAGCGACATAAAAGGCAAAAGAGACATGTCTACAATGAACAGTTAATTAAGGAAGTCCCTGAATTCAACAGTAAGGAAACCATCCTCCACAGCTTTATACCCACCTCATCGAGAATCATATAATCCCATGTGATGCTGTCCTCATCCAACTCATCCTTAAAGTAATAATCGCCCCGCAACGATTTCGAATTGTTCCGCACTATATCATAAGTTGTTAAAAGAATACCTTTGTCCTACAAGCAACACAGTTGTAATCAATCATTAAAAAGACGCGCATTGATAAATAGAGAGCAAGAAAAAGTCGCCTAGTGACTACTAGATGTAGTAGTGTAGAAAGACAATTCTAACCAGAATGCAAATATTTTGTTGATCTTAATATCATGAATTACTTCAAATTCTAACTTGGCAATAGTAGCAACACGAAAGAGACCAATTTCAAACAACATATTTAATCGAATGATGAACATATGATCATGCAGAAATTATCTCGACCAACTCCCTAGAGCTAACCAAGCAACAGAAGAACTACAACCTGAAGCACATATTGCAGTTCATATTGACGAGCCTTTGGACAAGTCCCATAGTATCTGCACACAAAATGATGACGCAATATCTCTTAGAAACAGTTATGAGTGCACCAGTACAACCAGAGTATTTTCAGTTAAAAAGCAGGCAGCCCCACTCTCTTGTCTTTTCAGAGAGTCCTACAGCTGATAGTTCTTTCAACCAGTGAGAAAGCAAAGTCTTTGGCGCCACAACAAGTGCCCTGCTTATCAAACGGGAATGGAACAACCCAGCTAAGAATCCACAAATCTGCAACAAAAATTGAATCTGTATCAACCATGCGAAATCAGCCGTTAACAATAACTGACGATTGCCACATAACTACCTGCATTGTTTTACCCAAACCCATGTCGTCACCCAAAATGCCACCCTTTCCTTTACAATGCAGGGACCAGAGCCACTTTAAACCATCAACTTGATGTGTATACAACATCTTCGCAATTTTGCCAGGTAATTTGTAGTTGAATTTCAGGCCAGTCAAGATGAAATCCTTTTTATCATCCACAAGTACATCATCGACAGAGTCATCCGAAACATCAATCACATTGCTGTCACCATAATCCATGCACTCACTAAATGAGTTTTCGGATGCAATTGAAAATGAGGATCCAGCACTCACATACTCCGGCACATCGTTTTTATTCCCTTCAAAAACTGTCTGACCTTTAACTACGGGAGAATGATCCTGGGTGGTCTCATTCTGTTTGGGAACACGCTTCTTCTCAACTGACAGCAGCTCAAGCCTGGAGGTTAAGTCGTTAAGAATATCCCTGATATCATTTCCAATTTCCCCACAAGTTTTGGGTGGCAGTGGGGAATCGAAATCAGTAATGTCAGAGAGCTTTGGCTCTTTGTGAGAGGATCTATTATCTGCATCTGTACTATCCTGGGAGGAAAGTTTGCAGAGGCGACGCCTCCCCTCAATTTTGATCTTTGCTGGTTTATCCTTCTCTGTCACACCAATGAACTCGGGTTCATGGGGTACTTCACCAGTTTCAGAATCATCATAGTTTCGAGATGAAACTTCGCAAAGGCCTTGTCCCTCCATGTTGACCTCCGTCGCAATGTTTTCTTCTCCACTATCACGTGATGAAAGTTTGCAGAGGCGACGCCTCCCTTCAATTCTAATCTTTGCTGGCTTATCTTTCTCCGTCACACTGACGAAAGAGGCAGCTTCACTAGTGTCAGAATCATTCAAGTCTTGAGTTGAAACTTTTTGAATGCATTTTCCCTCCGTGTTGACCTTCCTCGTGATCTCTTCTTCTGCAAGTCTCCCACAAAATCCCAAATGCACCATATTAAAAGGGATTAAACAAAGTATTATCTCTGCTTCTGGATGGAATCATTGCCAACGACAACTACAGATGGCCTTCCCCCCTTATGCCAAAACTAATAAAACAAGTATAGAACTAATAATAAAATGACAGATCAAAAGCCCGTCGTAGGCCAATGAAACTACATATCAAAAAGAAATTGCTTAAAAAGCTTCCTTAATTGTGAAATAGATTGTTAGCCGGCTTGACCTAACATAATTCTAAAAACTTTCAAAGGAGAGACACTGGTTTATGAAGAAGACGAAGCTAGAAACACGCATTGGAGCAACCTCAGAATCGCAGACAAATTAGCAACAAAAAAAGAAAAAACAATGTATGGAGAGACGGAGAAGACATTACCCAGAGGGGAGTCGAATTCGGTAATTGCCGAGAACTGAGGAATGGCCTGATCGTCGCGGAGATCGCGATCGTCTTCAACGTTGGACAATGGCTCTTCCACCTCTGCACCGAATACCATCGATCCGCGATCGTCTTCAGAGACGGATGATAATGGCTCTTCCACCTCTGCACCCAAAAAAACCACAGATCCCCCGAAGATCATTACTTCACCGCAAAGCAACAAAAATTAAGAGAACCCTAAACGAGAAACAGAAGCAGCGAACCCAGATGAAAAGCGGGAGGCGAAGGAGGGCGGTTCCCGTCGGCGGAGGACGACGATGGCTTGGAAGGGCGGGGATTGGTGAGGTCCTGGAGGAGGCGATAGTGGCTGTCGTTGAGGCTCTGCGGCTTCCTCCGGCTCGCCATTGTCGCAGTGGTTTTCCTCGACCTCAAACTCTTGTTGGACAGACAGACACACAGAGAGTTTGCAGAAAAAATGAGGTCTTTCTTTGGTGCTTGCTTTGGTCGTTTCCCGCTTACGCTCGCGTGTTTGAAATTTGGATTTTTTAATTTGAGATTTGGCACTTGATGGTGCGCTGGGGAATTTGCCCTTGGGAGACTCTGATTAGTGGGCGATTTAGCGAGAGATTAAGGGGGGGGCTTTTCTATTCATGCCAGCAAGGCGATACGCTGGATGTTGTTTATGGAGAACAGTATTGGTCCAATTGATTCGGAAGTTCATGTATCAATGATATCGAATCATTTATGTTTAGTGTTGATGCGGATTGTGTTTCGAGAGAGAGAGAGGAACGAGTGAATACGTTCTGAAATGTCCATGATGCATTCCAAGTTCCCAACAAGCCGATGCAAGCCAGACAACAACCGTTTTAATCTTTTTTTTTCCTTTCACTAGGTATTGAAACTGGGCCTGTGACTAATGATTAATCCCTTTGCCGCCGGGCTGAGCTAGAGCTGGGCATCGGGCTGTGCCGGGCGCGGCATTTTTGCGTCTCGGGCCCAATTTAGACTTTTAAAAATAAAAATCGAAGTTTTTTTTTTTTGCAAATATTGAAAATAATAAGAAAATGGAGTGGGAATTAATGGAAAAAACACTCGTTCTCTACGGTTAAATCTTGTAAAAACTAATTGTGCCCTATTATAGTTATTTCTAAATATTTCTCTAGATAAGCCGGACCTATTGTCTTCCAAGATTCGTGGGTTAATACCGAACGTGGGCTTTGATGATACCACAAATGCCTTAGAGTCGGTGAGTCCCATAGCCATAGTGGAAATAATCAGAATAATATGTTCCCAGCTAAGCTCTTTCCCTATTTCCAGACTATTAGATGATGTTGTCATTGCCAGCTCTATCGATGCATTCGGAAAGGGTTTAAGCATTGCTCGATGAGAACCCTATCTTCGTCTACGGAATGGAACTTGTTGTATATAAAGACGAAGACTTAGCATAAGGAATAATCTGTTCCCTGCTAGGTCTGTAACTGTAGGTTTTAAATTTTTAGCATTGCTCGATGAGAGCCATGTCCTCGTCCATGGGATGGAAATAGATGTCTAACTTGAGCCTCGGATCCAAAATAGTGAATGCAAAGAAAAAAATGTGAAATGTCCTTAAAATCTTAGGGGAATTTCGCTTCCATGGCTGCTAATGTTTCGTTGAAGAAGGCATCACCCTCCCTGTTCGCCAATTGACCCAAATCTTCGCAATATTGAACAGGAGAGTATCGACACCTCTATTGAATCTTGGATACAAAATCGAGGAACAATTGATATTATTTTTTAGTTACTGTATTATTCTATATATCGATTATAATTTAATTTCATAATTTATTCTATAATTGTAACTATGTCGCACCACAATAAAAAATTTCTTAAAAATTGAAAGTGTATTTGAAATTCTTGTCCCGTTCCATTCCCATAGTATTTTTCCTATTACCAAATATAGGAATTCCCAATCCAATCCAATCTCATAATTTATCAAAGAAAGGTTAAAATGATCATTCAGTTTCATTTCATTTCTTTCCCGTCTCATCTATTGTACCAAACGCAACATAAATAGAAAAGCTTGACTTGCCCATGTTTTGAAAACTGGTGCGGCCTGGCCTAATGAAACTTTTTTTGTTTGTTTCATGAGCGGCTCGAGTAACTGTTTAGGTGAAATACTGGCGGATAATCTGCCATTTTTCTATAATCGACATAGTCTATGCAACTCATAATTTATCTGCCTTGAGTTAAAAAACAATCTTCCCAACTTCGCAAGTTTCATCCTTTTAGCACCCCATCCTTTTCCAAGTGGATGCAAGCTGATTAGGTATACTCAAACTTAAATGTGCCAAATTCTTTCCCCTTCATTTGAAAGGATATGGATTTATTCTACAGAACCTCTGTTCATTTTACAGATCCTCCTGAACAAGAAGAACGAGAAAAATTGCGTTTTATTTTGCGGAAATAGCTCGTTTGACAAGCGGAAGAAGTTTTGTTGGCCCATAAGAAATGATAGTTGAATATTTTCCAATGGAAAATCTCAATTAGGTACCTTCAAATGGCATTAATTTCCAAATGATGCACCTATAAAGTAGCACAATAAAAGCCAAACTTCACGAGAAATAGAAGTCAATCTGAGAAATATACTGGTGATAGATTATTCTCCCATATGTTCTGGATTTTGCTTCAATCAACTCTTAATTTGGAAAGAAGAAGAAGAAGAAGACGAGTTTTCTTCAAATATGCCATAATCTGAGGAAGGCGTAAGGACATCCAAAAACTTGATTCAAGCTGAAGAAGAGAATGACAACAATGATCATCTCAAGTCCTATAAAGTTCAGCAAATAAAACAAGAAGGGAAAGTGCCGAGCTCAGTGTCCCGAGCTTGTAATCGAATGGGGCATCAAAGTGGTGGAATGTAATTTATAAGTTAGATAAGTGGATGGTTTAAGGTCCTTTGATTCAAATTGGCTTGCATGCCCCCTTGGGCTAGTAATACAAACAGAAAGTAAGTAAAAAAGAGTCCCATGCAAGCTTAAATTCTCTAGCTAGATAAAACCAATGACCTCTTTAACATTTTTGGGACTTCCCAACTCAGAGAAAAGGCAATAATAAAATTCATCATGAGGATGATGGCATTTTACAAGACATGCATAAGAATTCCAAAGTAATCATCATGGAGCCTGCCTGTAGTTCGCTAATGCTAACATTAAACGAGAAAGTCATCCCAGAAAACTGAGAGCTCTATTTCCAAGTAATCATCCCCGTACAGCTTTTATACAAAGTATGATTCTGTTTGAAGTTTGAAATGGGCTGTTTGTTGCTATGACTTACAAAATTCTCTTTATGGCATGTGTACATAAGGAACAAAAGTTTGAAAAATTTACAAACCTCAAGTGATGGAATGACTTGCCTTCTCGCAGAAGATGTTACCGGATTCACGTAATCTCCCCTTCCATGTCACGGTTCGTATCTGGATTTGAAATCGGTAGTCCTATTATCGTCATTGGCTAGAGCCGATTGCAATGTTGAACTCGGAAGACTTTTCCCGGTAATCTAATTATCCCCCTCAAGATGCCATCGATGAAGCAAGCGGAATTTCACTCTCGTGCGATTTAATGGACACATCATGGAACGAATTGCCATTTTGGTCATTGTGACCGTTTTGGTTCACTACAACGGCAGCTCCGAAATGCACCTGCCTCCCACCATTCCCAGGAGAATCCACCTGAGAGCCGTTCACCTTTACGGACCCGGATCCCACATTATTTTTCCCGGGCATGCTCCCGCCCGCCCCCGCCACCCATTCTGTGGCTCGAGGTGCCACCGCCATCGTCGCCACCTCCACAAACAAATCGAAAACCGCACATTCGAGAAATGCATCGATAACTACACGTGAGAAGCCAAAAGAACCAGGGAAAGCACACCAACATCATCCCGACGTAGAGAAGCCAACTCGAAGATGTGGATTCAGGGAGGCTCATGTACCGTATGAGGAAGCCGCCGCCGATGGCTAGGCATAGCAATATGAAGCAAGCAACGACCCATATGAACGCCCTCCCTGCCCTCGGGTCTCCTATTGGCATTTATTTGTCTTCTCGATCGTGGACCCAAAATCAAGATTTCAATAGAGAAGAGAGAGAGATTTTCTCTTCGTGGTTGTTATCATCCATGCTCTTGATCGCGACTCCAATCCACAAGTCTCTCTACGTGATGCGATCAGGTGGATCGAACAATGTTGATTTCGACAAGGGTTGTTCTTAGCTTCTATTGTTGCATGAGATCTGTCTTGCACGAGTTCATGGTCGGAGGAAAGACATGTTCAAAAGTTGTTTACGAGAAAAATGGTTAGAGACAAAACATAACCAACAAAACGAGAGAGAGAGAGAGAGAGAGAGAGAGAGAGAGAGAGAGAGAGAGAGAGAGAGAGAGAGAGAGAGAGAGAGAGAGATGATTTGTTGTCATCTTTAGGTGGCAGTAATTAATCTGCGGCCTATATATATCAAAGATCGGTACATTAACTTTACGTCATCAATTGTCTTCATTTATTGTATCATAATGTATAGTCCTTGGTTTGACGGACAAACCTACGCTATGGTATAAAAGATAATTTTTAAAGATATGATTGTTTGAGAATGTAAACATAAATTAGTTATAAAATTGGGAAGATGAGTAATTTATAGAATGCTCGATAATTATGTTGACTTCAAATCGGGAAGTTAAATTTAGTGATTGATAATTGAAAAATACTAATTATCATAAATTACTATTGTGTTCATCTATAATCATACGTATTACTATAGTTAATTTAAATTTAGGCATGGTTTTTCATGGATTACTTTGATGAGCTTGAATAACCGTTGGATTTGTTGTATTAACGGTAGAAATTGTAGGCACGGGTTGCTAGGGAATTGTTTTCATAAAAAGTTTGAGATTGAAATTAACATTGGATTTTTCTCTGAAATATAAAGATAAGTTTGAAATTTTTTTTTGTAGTTGATAAGTTCTACAATATTGACATGAACGTAATTGAGAAATTCACCTGATTTACATGAGCTATCCTATAATTTGGGTCCCTTGTAGGACTTCTAAAGTTGGCGGCTCACATGAATTGGATGCTCCTGACACCTTTTAAATGTAATAGATCCACAAATGTTAGTAGATCAGATGTCTCGTTTTGCCACATGTCTAGCTACCACAATTATAAAAGGGATAAATGCATTCAAAGTCCTAAAACTTGTCACGAAAGTACAATTGAGTCCTAAAACTTTCCAAAAGTGCAAACAAGTCCTAAAACTTGTCACGAAAGTGCACTTGAGTTCTAAAACTTTAAAAAATGCAAACAAGTCCTAAAACTTGTCACGAAAGTACAAATAAGTCCTAAAATTTGTCAAATTGGTTCAATCAAGTCCTTCTATTGATTGTACTTTTTGAAAGTTTTAGAACTTGTTTGTACTTTTGTGATAAGTTTTAGGACTTGTTTTTACTTTC